GAAATGTGTCAGAAAAAGACACATCGTGCTCGAGTCGCCTCAGATTGTAAAGATAACCAGACAGTTTCAGTAAGGGAGAGGAAGCCAGACATCAATTGTTATCAACATGAGGTCATTCAAAGACTGGAACAAGACATCAACATGACCACAACTCATCAGATTAAAACATTAGAGTATATGCTTTTGTTAAACAGGAAAACGTTGACTACTACACTACCCACAAACACTTGATCACTCTGAAAATTAAGCCCTTGTAATAAAGTAGGCCTTTTCATGGCAGACATTTTCACCTGTAGTAGCAGGAAAAGCACAGGTGAGTAAGTGTCCCAGTAAAACACCAGCAGCCCAGAACGGGCTCCACTATATGAAACCGATTTCAATTTGTTAAGCACAATTTGAAAATGTACATAAAACAGCTGAAACAAAGCAGCTACAAAGAAAAACATCATCAGGTAGCGATACTACTTGTTAATGTTCCTCACTGTATAAAGGCGGTAGCGATACTACTTGTTAATGTTCCTCACTGTATAAAGGCGGTAGCGATACTACTTGTTAATGTTCCTCACTGTATAAAGGCGGTAGCGATACTACTTGTTAATGTTCCTCACTGTATAAAGGCGGTAGCGATACTACTTGTTAATCTAAATAAGGACAGTCTGACCACTCACTTTGTCGTGCTTGTCAAACACGCTCTGAAGGAAGAGGTAAGCGTTGTGGTTGAGCTCTGTGGTGCAGCCTGGTGGGATTTTTATCCTGAAATAACAGAACGTACACAAGCGTTAAACTTCTGATGCTGCCTTGAAATGTGTCAGAAAAAGACACATCGTTTGGCCAGCAGACTCACTCAAAGCATATGAATATCTTCTAGAGCTGTTTCAACAGGCATCTTATACTATTTTCTGATGAGAACAGACTACAAGTCAGTAACAGCCCTAAAGCATTAAATAAAAACCCATTAGTGATGTACCCTCATGTATACTGTGCTGAATAGTGACTGGACAAAGTTGTGCTTTTTTGAACTTAAAAAACATTGCATTATAGCAGCCTGATCATTTTCTATGCCCAATAACCAAAAGAAAAGAGTTATAATATGTTTAAAACTTATTAGTATTCTAAAACTCATCACCTCATCATCAACACAGCAGAATCATCAAACAGGAAACTGTTGATTTAGCGAGATTAAAGTTCTGTTCAGATCTCTGCCCCTTTCCTGTCTCTAAAACTTTGAAATTAAAAGCACAAGATCAGCAACAGTCATCACATGGGGCTGCACTCACATTGGGAACAGGTACTCCTGTGTGAGCTCCAGGTCGTCATCGTAGCCAAACCTCCTCAGCACCGTCCAGGTGGTCTCGTGCCGACCTCTCTGTATGAAGAGGGTGTGCAAGAACAGGAAGCCTGTGATAAAGAGCCAGTGACCCAGGAGAAGAGATGAGTCAGAAACTGATGAAGAACTGACAGTGGTTTTAACTCTGAGAAGAATGGAGCCAGAAATGAGTAGAAAAGGGGGCCTAGTGAGTGAGGGGATGTGAGATGTGAGGAAGGACAGGTCATGGGAGTGTCTGACCTTTGAGTGTGAGCCCGTTGTCCTTGACTCCGTCTGTCATGTTCCTCCTGACCACATTTTTTACATCCTCTAAGGCCTGCGGCGCCAGCGGTGTGTTGAAACACGTTCGCTATACAGACACACAACAAGCGATACACTACCTAAAGAAATTCTTCCACAACGTTGGAGGCTAATGTAGTCACAAAAACTATGCTGACCGTGACGATATTAAGTGGAAAATGAAAACATTACCTGGAAGAAGTTGAGCTCATTGTCATTAAGGATGCCATCGTTGTCCAGGTCAGACACTTTAAAGATTCTTGTCAAAGCCTTAATGCAAGAAGGCTTCAGCTGTAACACAGAAGAAACATATTCATGTATGTGGTTACGTGCATTTCATAATGCAAAAAGATTGCATTCAGGGACAGATTGTCTTCACAGGGACAGACCTTTCCCCTCCTGACAGGATTTCAACCAATATAGTGCTCTCTTCATCAACTCCAAAAATAAAATACATCACAGTCCTTGGAGTAATTTTTATGGAAGGCAACATAAGACGAGAGGCTTCTGCTTGAATTAACGTAAGTGATAGCAGGACCACTGAATTTTTATCACTTCAACAAACACAACCACTGCTAATGTTATCACCTGCACTTCCTTCTACTCTGACTAGTTAAGGTGCTGTCTCTGCACAAACTCTATAGAGCTCACCTCCTTCTCCTCAGGGCAGTACAGGGGTCCAGTCGGGTGGAGAACAGCCTTCTGGGCATAGTAGAACAGCTCAGAGATGTTCTTCAGATTTTTGGCAGAGCACTGAGGAAACAGAGGTGTGTGTGAGCAAGAGCAACTCCAGGGTTAAATTATCAGGAGATGTCAAACTCATCTAGTTTTCTACACTGTAAAAAAAACTGCTGAGAAAACACAAACTATCAAGGCAACATGATGCAACAAGATGTTTGAATTTGAAGGTTTACAAGTTTAGACAAGAGTTCTGCCAACTTGAATCTTCTTGTTCACCTCAGAAGAATATTCCTTTGAGGCCAACAATGAAATTCCTGTTTCATTGCCATGCATTTCTACTTTAGGTGGCTGTGGCTCACGGGTAGAACGGTTGTCTCCCAACCAGAAGGTTGGCAGTTTGATTCACAGTGCCTGCAGTCCACATGTCAGTGTCCTTAGGCAAGACACTGGACTCCAAGTTGCACCCGATGGCTGGAGCAGCTCCCTGCAGGGACAGCGCCGCCAAAGGTCTGTGTGTGTGTGTGTGTGTGTGTGTGTGTGTGTGTGTGTGAGAGAGGTGGCGCCACAGAGGGGTGTCTCCGTTCTGCACTACAGATGGCTGCCTCGGTTCTGAACTGGAGACATTCTTTGCATGTGTAACAGTAAAACACTGGTGTGACTGTCCCAAACTTCCTCCAATGTGTATGTGCCTTCCCTCACGTCCTCCTTGTTTCCCTCTTAACTCTGTAACTGATCCAGCTGAGGAGGGTGTGGCTGATTTGTCTCACACAACAGAGGGAAATTAATTAAAAAGCAACGCACACACTAGCTGGCTTCCTCCACGACAGCCATGCCTCTCAATATACTCACAGTCCATCAGTCAGAGGGCCCTGGCCCAGGAGCGCGACGTTCAGTAACATAAATCTACTAATTACTCGACCAGAGTGTAAGTGGAGTCGGGAGCTGCAGTCCAGGAGCAGCTGGGGACCAATGTGTCCTGCACACTGCCAGCCTCACTCTGACAGTCGCTGCCACTAGTGGTTTTTCAATCAGCGTTTCAGCTTTCACCTGTCACTTCATCGCTCTCAAGTGCTTCATCACTCTGATATTTCACTGAGCCTCAGCAGATCCAAAAGGTGTCTGTTCAAGCGTGGCTGTGTGTGTTTATGTCTGCAGTGATGTCATACCTCTACGCAGGTCTCGATATCCTGGTACTGATTCATGATTGGCAGGATGGTCTCCATGCTGCTGTGCTCCACCAGGTCGGACTTGTTCCCCACAAGGATCAGCGGTACCCTGCCATTTAGTAAAGCTACTTATTACTACATTATAGAGCTGCAACGATTAGCTGAGCAACAGGAAACTAAAAACTGATTTCTCATTTAGGCCATTTTTAAAGCAAAAATGTCAAACTTTCTCCAGTTAACATCAAGGTCAGTGTTTGCTGTTCAATCTGTTTTTATAACTGACTGGCCTTTATCGCTGTTTCCTGACATTTTTTTTTTTAAACCAAACACTTAATTCATTCATTAAGAAAATGGTCAGCAGATGACTCAATAGTGAAAGGAATCATTAGCTGCAGCCTTGTGTTCTCATAGCTTTAATCACCTTGATGTCATCTGTAAACACAGCTCTGCTTAATGCAGCATATCAAACAAATGTATTAAATTCACAAGGTTCACAATAATTATCAAAGGCCAGTGTGGCATGCAGTGTGCAAAGGATTATCAGAATGTATCCCTAGTTCTAACAAAAAAAACTTGCTACTGATCACAGCCACAGAAGGCAACATGGACCGCTGATCCTGCTGGTTAAAACAAATCACACCATTTAATAGTAACTAATGACTGATCCATCAGGCTCAACTTGGAAGTATATCAGCGAACATTCCAGTGCCCAGTTCTACAGGATGTTTCTGTCTTTGTGGCTTTGCAAAAATGCTCAGCTACTGTGCCACAGACACCAAGACAGAAAAATGGTAAATTAATTAGCTAAGAAAACTAATCACAACCCATCAAAAAGCATGGGCTAGTGAGTACAATATAGGCCAGATATCTGGGAGCAAACTAAATGGAAATCAGCAGCTGCATTTTGCACCATTTTGACATGAAGAGCATAATAAAGACGTACACACATCTATTACACACCTGCTGTCCTTGTCTGTTCTGTCATTTATGAGGGGAATCCAGTGGCTTGTCACCTGGAGCAGGAAAGCACATCACCAAACAGTAAAGCCATTCATCACAACTACAAATTAATTTTCGCTACTGACAAGAACACATAGTGTCCTGTTCCAAATTCTGGACATAATGCAGTCGCACGTGGGCTAACAGACAGAAACTACTCACCTTTTCAATGGACTTCTTGTTGTTGACTGAGTAAACTATACAAATAACATTTGCCTATAAAGACAAACAGCAATATTAGCTCTTGATACACATAGAAATACATGGAGCATATGCATTATGAGACCAGATGAAATGAAGAATGACATCAAAACAACCTTGGATATTTCTTGATACAGCTGCTCGTCTGACTGCTCTGCTTCTGTAAGAGATCAAAAAGGCTAATTAGTACTGTACTGTATGTTTGATAAGCATTTCAACTGAACTTTGTATAGTAGTACTAATTAAAAATGCCATCATCTGTCATCACTGTGTGTGTAGTGGGGGAGGGTTTACCTGAGTAATCCACAATGTGTGTGGGCACCCTCTCTGGGGTGACATCAGCGGGGATGGTGATCTCCTCAGCTCGGAGAGGAACCTGAAAGATGACGGAGGACAATGGGTCTCATTCACCAGCATCATCCTAAGTGTTTTCTTGAATTTTATCATAGGTTGTTCTTAAGAAAGGTCCTAAGAAAAGTCTACGTCTGATTCATAAACCGCAGAATTGTTCATTTGTTTTAAAAGACCATAACCCTTTGTAAAATATTAAAGAAATACAAATAACAAAACTGTTATTGTAACTTAAATCTTATATTATATGACTGTATAACTCGTTGGTGAATACGACCCAGTGATCCCAGATACCGACAACATACAAGAGTCAAACAGCACCTGGTAGGCTTTCTACCCTGTCTGATTGGCTGTTGGTACATACCTCATCAGGAAACTCCTCACTGACCAGAGTCATAATCAGCGATGTCTTCCCCACCTTGGCTGTGTGGGCAAAGCAAAAACATTTTTAAACAATCTCACATTACATTTCTATTTTACAGACCATGACTCATTATGTGACCATTTTACTGAGGTATTCTGGGTAATGTGTTCAGTGACAGAGAACAGATAAGAGCAGCTGAAGAGGGTTAAGTCAAGTGCCACAACTCTCAAACAAGCACCCAGTAAATTCCATCACAAAACAAAGCAGCAACATGGTGTGCAGTTAGGTTGCCTTATTAATATTTTAACAAGTGCATTATCCCTACAACTTCCTGGTGCCACTGGCTCTAATGGGAAAGGCAGGGTATGTAAAACAGAATAAAGTTTGCCTTGTTAAAGTACTAACTACATTTTCAGCAGCTACCACACTAATGAAGAAGCAGTTCATATTAGAGCTGAACAATTAGTTGCCTAATCAATTTCTTGATCAAGAGAAAGTAAACATTTTAAATGAGCAATTATTCATTTTAGTCATTTTTAAGCAAGAATGGTAGTGATTTGCTAGTTCCAACTTCTTGAATTTGAGAATTTGTTGCTGTTCTTTATTTTATATCATTGTACATGGAATATCTTGCATTGTGCTGTTTCCATCCATCCATCCATCCATTTTCTTCCGCTTATCCGGGACCAGGTCGCGGGGGCAGCAGTCTAAGCAAAGATGCCCAGACTTCTCTCT